AAGAGATTGGATTTATACCCCGCCCTTCACTACCCAAAGGTGTCTCAGAGCGGCTTACAAACTCCTTTCCCTTCCGCTCCCCACAACAGACACCCTGTGAGGTAGGCGGGGCTCAGAGAGCTCTTGACAGAAACTGCTCTTTTTCAAGGACAGCTCTTATCAGAGCTAGGGCTTGCCCAAGGCCATCCAGCCAGGTGCAAGTGGAGGAGTGGGGGAATCAAACCCGGTTCTCCCAGATTAGAGTCTGCGCACTTAACCACGACACCAAACTTTGGTTTTATCACTCAAGCAATCCTTGTGCCTGTCAAGGTCTTTCAAGGTTCTGTGTTTGAGATTGGATCGACATACGCAGCCAAATGAGGTGATGGAATCGGGCGTACTACTATTGAACGCTAGCCCATCAAACAAAAAAACTTTCCGCTGGTAGAAAATTTACATTTTCATTTTCGTAATCAGACGGAGTGTGTGTTTCAGTTTTCTGTCTAAATGTCCTTTTCCCTAGCAAAATATGATTCTATTGTAGCTAAATTCCACACATTTTAAACATGTTTCTTAATATACTATGTCCCTATAACTTCCCTTATAGTTACTGAGTGCAGTCATTTTCTTTGTGTGTTGTTTCAGCTGCACGGAGGATGATTCCCGAACGCTTCCTTTTGCTCTCGGCAGCTGGGCTGCTGTTCCTCGCCACAGGTGAGTATCTGCCCCGCCACTGGGAAGGAGAGAAAGTAAATAGTGATTCACCCGAAAGATGGATTTATTGTACTTGTCTACCATATCACATCGGTAAGGCATGGGAGGCCGTCATGTGGGGGCCACAGCCTTGCCAAAACGCATTTTTTAAATGGCATTGGCTGCCCTGGCAAGCAGCAGCCTGTAAAAAAGGCCCTGCTAGGTTCAAAGGGCATTGAGAGTGTTCTGTCCGTCTTTCACTCCTCTTTAAAAGCAGGGCTATTTTTGGGCAGGATTCTGCTGCTGGGTGTGGCCTATTATGCTAATGAGTTCCTGCTGGGCTTTTTCTACAAAAAGAGCCCTGTAAAAGGATGTGGAATGCTGTCTGTCAGTGAGAGTTGAGTCCAGGGCCATACCTTAGAGACCAACAAGACTTTCACGCTCCCTTCATCAGATATGTTATCTGGCAAAGGGAGCTTTAACTCTCAAAAGCTTATATACCCCAAAAACCTTATTGATCCCTCAGGTGCCACTGGATTTCAAGCCTAGCTGTTCTGCCGCAGACTAACATGGCTACTACCCTCTGAAGTGGTCCACCAGATCATTTTTTCATAGTGAATAGTGATCCCCCCCCCCATTGTGAAACCAAGGACTGGCTGTAGCAGAGGAGGAATCTAAGCTGTGAAGTCTTGTGAGCAAAACTTCTACCCTGTGAGCTCCTGGCATGAAAGCTGTGAGCGAGCAATTTGGCTGCTGCATCAATTAGTTTGCTCTGGAGCCATCCCTTCCTGAGGTAAGACAAAAATGTGTGAGCCGGAGGCTAAAAAAAATGTGAGCTAGCTCACACCAACTCAGCTTAGAGAGAACAGTAGAGAACATAAAAACATAAGAGACGCCAATGTTGGATCAGTCCAAAGGCCCATCCAGTCCAACACTCTGTATCACACAGTGGCCAGAAATACCAGGTGCCATCAGGAGGTCCACCAGTGGGGCCAGGACATTAGAAGCCCTCCCACTGTTGACCCCCCCCCAAGCACCAAGAAGACAGAGCATCACTTGCCCCAGAGCCCCTATCTATACTTTGTGGCTAATAGCCACTGATGGACCTCTGCTCCATATGCTTATCTAATTCCCTTTTGAAGCCATCCATGCTTGTAGCCGCCACCACTGTAGAGGCCACAGATTTGCACGTAACTGCACCAAACAAAATATCCTGTTTGCCAGGGTAGAGGAGGAGGTTGGGGAAGCCTGTTCTTCTCTACCTTCATTCATGTATTTTACATAGGTGTATGAGACATTTATTTTAATGCTATACTCTAAGGCTGCTCCCAGGAGAAAGCCCCACTGCTTCAGATTGCTTCTTAATTTGCCTTGAATTTCAGCTTTGTCAGATGTAGAGCTGATTTCCCTACCTGGATACCGATTTCTCCTTACCTTTGTTAACATTGATTTCTCTCTCTCTCTTTCTCCTTGAGCACTTTCCCTTGAATGCACCAAATACAACGTCAAGACCTGCGAGGAATGCATCCGTTCCGGCCCAGGCTGTGCCTGGTGTAAGAAGCGGGTAAGCGTCATTGTTTTTATGTGCCAACGCTCCCCTCCCCCGTTAATTAAACTGAGGCTGCGGTCACACACACTAAATAATCCACTCTCAATCCACATTCAGTGCACTTTCCAACTGGACTTTTGCTGTGTGGACTGGCAAAATCCCATTTGAAAGTGCATTGAAAGTGGATTCTTTAGTGTGTGTAACTGCAGTCTGAGTTTTAAAATTTTCCAATGCCCTGTTCCTGCCAAACATCTTGTGAACAGCATGTTTTGGTTTGAGGAGAGAAATTACCTGTTTCTTGTCCTATTTTGGATGGACCTTGGACTGATTCAGGTTCCTTGATTCTGAAAGATGAACCCCTGTGTTCCGTCAGTCTGCTTAGCTAGGCTCTGTTGTCTTTATGCCAGCCAAAGAAAAAAACCAATACCAAAATGCATCATCAGCCTTTCTGCTGGCAAGGAGGAATGCGTCAGTATCGCTCCGCCAAGCCTTCCAAGGAGAAGCAAAGTGGTGTTCGTTCTATAATACCATTTTACTATGGAAAGGTCATTGCCCAAGAGTTCTACCAAATCTCTATAAACTGGTGAGCATCCCCTATCATGGAATTTACTAGAGAATACTACCAACATAACCAAACTATGAAGTTTTTCTTGTGGTATCTAATAGTAAAGTTCTGGCTGGTGCCAGTAAAGCAAGCCATAGAATCAGGCCACACACGGAGGATGTTTATTTCCTTGGGGGAATTCCCCAGTTATGTACGAAAATAGGGCTTTGCAAATTAATTAAACGAAGAGAAGAAACGGCATGATGCGGACTGGCTCTGTCCCTGGAGGTACAAAAAGTTGAAAGCCGTTGAGAGTCTGTTTAAAAGGGATAAAACTGGAGAGGTGACAGGCAGTAACGTGAATAGAGTTAAACTGAGAGCCTTCTATTCTGTCTGGATTGGAGCCAGTCTCCAACCTTGGACTTTTCCTTCTTACTCCTTTCTGTTTTCATCAACTAAAGCGCTTCATGAACTGGGGCCCATATAGCTGAAGGGCTGCTACTCCCGATTGTGGGTTCCCATGGAGCAACTCTGCTGCTCTCTACTGGGCCTGCTGTGTGTGCCCCTCCCCTGACCATGGGGTGTTCTGCACTCCACCAATCCATCTGTTTGGGGGTGATATAGGAATGTAAAGATCTGCTGAATGCCCAGCGCCCTGCACAGCTGCCTCATTAAGGCCACTCGGAAGGAAGTACCCCGGACCATCAGGATCTCCTGCGGCAATCCTCATCTGGAGATGAGGATGGGAAACAGGTTGTTATCCCCGTATGGGCCACCAGCTTGTCAGGTCATGGGGGTTCTGGGGCTGAGCTCAGTGAAGTAGGGCCCTCCAGGGCGTGAGTTTTAGCAAGCCGGCTTGGCTCTGGCCTCCGATAGCGCAGGGGGAGAGGGGTTTGCGTGCTCCCTGATCCCTCTTCCCCTGCTCATGGTAGCCCAGTTGCTCTCCCGGTGTCTCTCACCCGTGCTCTTCCTCCCCACCCTGCCCCGTGCCTGCTGCTTAAGTCCTCGTCTTTGGGGCAGGACGCCACCGGGCTCTCCAATCTCCCCCTTCCTGGGTGGGGCTCATGTAATGGATGTCCCTCGTGCCCAGTGGGTCACCTCCTCTCTGGACCCACCCCATTCCGTACCCTGGGGTGGGGTGGGGTGGGGCTGCCCAGCCTCCAACTTCTCCTCCCTGCCGGCACACCAGCGGCTGCTGGTGCACCTGCCTGCCGCTTCCTCCCCCCACCGCCACTGGCTTTCTCCGTGCTCTGCTGCCGCTCATGGAAGGCCAGGCATACCTGCTTTGCACCCACGCCAAGCAGCACTGGCAGCCCCCCCCCCCGCTCCCTGAGGTTTCACTGCCCATTTCTTCTTCTGGAGGCTGCCTGGTGTCCCTCTCTGCTGGTAAGTTCCAGATGCAATGTCCCCTGTCTCAGAGCTCCAGACTGAGTGGCAAGAGAGACTAGATAGCTAGACAGGCACACACTGACCTTTCTTCCTGTATCCATTCTGCCAGTGGCGTCTTTGAAATGCAAATTTGTGTTCTCAGGGATCAACTTCCCTTTCCCCTTCCTTCCTCTCTCTCTCTGGGTGAAGATGTGCCTCTCTACCTGCATGCACCAAGAGAGGAACAGGCACCATAAGGCAGATGGGCCTTTTGCCACCAGCTTCCATCCTTAGCTAGTAAGTTAGCAATCTATCCATCTCTGCTCTTTCCTATCCAAAGTGTACTTCTCAAATAAAGAGAGAGGTATTTCTCTTCTAAACTTGCAATGTGGCTCTGTGTAGCTTTGTAAGCTGAGTAACCTGGTAAAAGTGACGCTCCTGCGTTTGTAGCTTTATTTAAGCAGTCTTCTAACTAATGGTGACTGAACTTAACCACACCAGTTAACTTCAATAGATGCTACCCCTGGACACCGGAGATATTGGGGGTGGAACCTGAGACCTTCTGCATGCCAAGAAGATGCTCTGTTGCCAAGCCATGTCCCCAACCCTGAAGCTTTCTGTCAGAGGTCCTTAACCTTTAATGTGCTACCACCCACGAACTGTTCAACATAAGAACATAAGAGACGCCAATGTTGGATCAGGCCAAAGGCCCATCCAGCCCAACACTCTGTGTCACACAGTGGCCAGAAATACCAGGTGCCATCAGGAGGTCCACCAGTGGGGCCAGGACATTAGAAGCCCTCCCACTGTTGACCCCCCCAAGCACCAAGAAGACAGAGCATCACTTGCCCCAGAGCCCCTATCTATACCTTGTGGCTAATAGCCACCGATGGACCTCTGCTCCATATGCTTATCTAATTCCCTTTTGAAGCCGTCCATGCTTGTAGCCACCACCATTTCCTGTGGCAGTGAATTCCAAGTGTTAATCACTCTTTGGGTGAAGAAGTACTTCCTTTTATCCGTTCTAACCCGACCGCTCAGCAATTTCATGGAGTGCCCATGAGTTCTTGTATTGTGAGAAAGGGAGAAAAGTACCTCTTTCTCTACCTGCTCTTTCCCATGCATAATCTTATAAACCTCAATCATGTCACCCCTCAGTCGTCATTTCTCCAAGCTAAAGAGCCCTGAGCGCTTTAACTTTTCCTCAACGTTATCACTGAATGCCCCCCCCCCCAAAAAAAAAAAACCAAGGAAAATTAAGATATAAAAACAATACTCCAGACAAGGCAACTTGATTTATGTAGGTATATTTATGGTACACATGCACGATTCAGGTATATTTTTTATTTGACCCTGATGGCCATCAGGCACCTCCATAATGTTAGGCTTGATCCCTATTTTCTGTGTGTCTTTTTTTAAAAGGCCCTGGGGGAGAAATCTGGGATTTTATCCTCAGGATGGGATTAGCTGTACAAAACATCTCTCCTCCGCACTGGGTCCACCTCCCACAGTGGCCATTTTGTGGTCGTACCCATCACCCTGTGTCAGAATTCCCAGGGTGCCCACAGACTCAAAAGCAGGGGTGGCCAAACTCGCTTAACATAAGAGCCACATAGAATAAACATCAGATGTTTGAGAGCCGCAAGACATGAACAGATATTACACGTACAATTTTATTGGAAAATATGCAAATTTGCTTTTTATGAACACTAAATTGATTAGATGGGGAGGGAGGGGAGAAAGAGAGAGAGAGAGAAAGGTGGAAAGAAAGTGGAAAGAAAGCAAAGAGATGGGGTGAGAGGTGGAAAGAAAGCAACTTTAACTTTAAATGCATCCTCCAAGCCTCCCTCTGCCCCCATTTTTAAAGTTTCTTTCTTTCTTTTCTCTGTCCCCCCCCCCAGCCTACCCAGGGAGTGGAACACTGGCTGGGGAAGGGAAGACCGATTGGGGAGGCATGCCACACACAATATGTGTGAAAGAGCTGCAGTTTGGCCACCCGTGCTCAAAAGGGTGCCCCCTGGCTAGTCCAATTCATTGGGGCTTCCTAACATCTCAGACGCACTTCCTTTTCAGCCCTGCTGCCTGAGTTCCTTTTCACGGGAATGCCCAGGGGCATTCCCTGAGATCTTCTGCGAGCCAAAGCACGTGCTCCTGTGACTAAGTGATGGCCTTTCCCCACTTGTGCAAAACTTGCTGACCGTTTTTAACCCTTTCTTTCTTTATTTTTTTACAAAATACAGAATTTCACAAAAGTGGGAGAACCAGATTCCATCCGCTGCGACACCAAGGAACAGCTCCAGCAGAGGGGGTGCGAAGAGGACATTGTTTTCCCAGAAAGCTATGCCAATCACTACCCTTTGCCTCCACCAAATATGAAGAAACAAATCTACCCGGATGAGGTGCATCTGCGGCTAAGACAAGGTGCTACTTTTTACTAATCCCTATAGACGTTGAAAGCGAAAGCAGAGCTGAGTCTCTGCACAGTGGAATTCACTATTCTGGCTCCTTGAGGAATAAACTCATACATACTAAGGCCCGTAGCTAACGTGGGGCCCACGGGGCCCGGCCCCCTAATGTTTCTTCCAGGGCCCCCAAACAGAGCCTTGGATTCTCCTCCCCTGAGCTCCACAGTAGCTATGTGCCTGTCGGTGAAACGGGGGCTGCATGGGATCGCAGGGAAGCCATTGCACAGGACAAGGCACAGGATTTTAGCTGTGTACTCCACAGCTCTGAAGTACACTGGTTTGCAGTTAGTCGATCAGCCCCATCTGAACCAGCACAGTCCAGGGCAAGGAGGAAAGAATGTGCATAGCTGAGCAAAAAAATTGCCCCCCCCCCCCCAGCAAAAAGTTGCTAGCTACAGGGCTGGTACTAAGGCTTGTTACTTAGAAAAGAAATAGGAGTTCTTTATTGTACAAAAATTCCATGCTCGATAGCAAAGGCAGAATAAAGCTTTCTAGCTATTTATCTACATGAGTGGGGAGAGAGATTGTAGAACACATGGCTCGCCTTCATAATGGACAGAGAGGGAAAAGGGAAATGATTGGAAGTAAGTGTTCTGGGTAACAAAGGGACAGCTGCAGGAGTAGACAAAGGAAAGGAAAGGTGAGGAAGGTCAGGAAGCCCTTTACACAGGGCTGGCATCAGCCTCAAACCATAGAGTTTTGCCCCACTTCCAGGTGACGTAGGCATGTTGCCTTTATTTCCAGCGATGTCATTGTTTGGGGAGGGGATTTCCTCCTGCTGGCCAGCGGTGGGCAGAAGCTCACGAATCCAGAGATCCCCCCACGCCCACCTGGGGAATGGCAATCCTACGTCAGCGTACTCTGAGGTAGGGCTACTGCCATGGTCCAGGTCTTCTGGTGGGGCCTGCTGGTGCAGCCCTTCACCCCACTGACCCCCCCCTGCTGCCCATCTGCTTGTTGTGAGCCCTTCCATCACCCACACTCCCAGCTGTGTGCACCGCCCACCGTAGTCAGGGAAGGGTGGGTGAGCACTGGGAGCACTAGGAAATGAGCAAGAGGGTTGAGGAAAAGGATAGACGAAGAAGAAGGAGAAGAAGAGAGACGAAATTGGATTTATACCCCGCCCTTCACTACCCAAAGGAGTCTCAGAGCGGCTTACAAACTCCTTTCCTTTCCCCTCCCCACAACAGACACCCCGTGAGGTAGGTGGGGCTAAGAGAGCTCTTGACAGAAACTGCTCTTTTTCAAGAACAGCTCTTATCAGAACTACGGCTTGCCCAAGGTCATCCAGCCAGGTGCAAGTGGAGGAGTGGGGAATCAAACACGGTTCTCCCAGATTAGAGTCCGCGCACTTAACCACTACACCAAACTGGCTCTAGCTACATAGTGGGGAAGGAGAATGCAGGCAAGTAGGCAAGGAGGTGTTGGGGGGGGGGACACAATGGAAAGCGAAGGAGAAGGGCGCTCCAGGCACTTTCTGCCTAGGGCCAAATGAAACCTGGCCACTGGGCCTGCCTTTACTGACGCTCTACTGCCCTCCCCTGAGACACCGATGTCTGTGCTAGCATTAAGCGGCATTGCACAGTTCATTTCTTCTAAGAGAACAAACCTCCCTTGGAGAAAGTTCAGGCTGCGGTGCAGGCAGTCATTTTTGCAAAGTAACAAGAATGCCTCCGCTCTGACCTCTGCTGTGGCACCACTCCAGATCCAGCAGGAGTAGCACGATAGCTGTGCCAAATATAAGACTGAGGAGACAATGCCTCCCCTCTTAATGGCAGCTCCTTCCTCTAATGTAGAAATCAATAATCTAGTAGAAGTTATTCTTAGGCAAAAGGCTAAAACGGATTCCTGTCTGGTTCGAAGAAGAAGAGCATACAAAGTGAAAGGAAAACTTAATAACAATTAAGAAAACATTCTTGAAATTTTGGAACATGGCTCCATGGGAATAGGCAGCGCTGTACTTTTTCTTTTTTTTAAGAAAGCTACATGATAATCGTGGATAACGGATACAGCTGGTTAAGTCGTATATACCCAGTATTATTCAATATCTCTACACGTGCATGTGTATCTGTTGAAGCAATGTTGGAGAGCAAGTATAAGCAGGTCTACTCAGAAGGAAGTGTGCCTAGGATTGCATTGCTGGCCACATTGCTGGGAGCTGGGTTTGATTTTCTCAGTTGCTGCTTGAAGTGCTAAAAAAGGACAGGAAAGCAGTTTAAACATGAGACCAGTGAAATAAAAGAAGTTAATGTGTGTGACCTCGGCAGTGGCATCTCTCTAGCAGTATCTCCAAATCTTTGAAAAATATTGCTTACAGAGTTTTACATGCACATAAAGACTTGAAAGGAGCTGCGGTGGCTCAAGTGGTTAAGACACTGAACTGCAGGCTCTGGAAGTAGATAAATAGGTACCACTTCGGTGGGAAGGTAACAGCGTTCTGTGCGCCTTGGTGTTTAGTCATGCCGGCCACATGACCACGGAAATGTCTTTGGACAGCGCTGGCTCTTCAGCTTTGAAACGGAGATGAGCACCGCAACCCTTGAGTCGGATTCGACTGGCTTTCGAGCAAGGGAACCTTTACCTTTAAAGACTTGAACATTAAGGTCCATGAGGGTATTTCATGTCGCCCATAGAAGGACTGTCTTTTTTGTTTGTTTAAAAATAGATTCTGTGGGCTTTTCTACGCCCGGTTTTTGCTGCAGCTTGGCTTCTTAACTGCATTCTCCCCCCCCCGCCCCTTCCCTTACATAATATATAGTTTTTGTGTTGTTGGTCTCCAGTTTTTCTTCAAGTTCCTTCTGTGTGTGTTTTTTTCACTGCCTTTCTAATAGTCTGAAAAACACCAGAGAAATCTTTTTTAAAAAAACTCTCAAGACACTGTGTGTAAAGGAGGGTGAAAAAAGGTGCAGTTATGAAGCCATGCTGGAGTAAAAACCTGGTGTGGAAAAGCGCAGTGTGTATCAAGAATGTCTCACAACGGTACATAGTTGCTCCAGGGTTGTTGTTGTTGTTGTTTTGTAAATACATATTTTATAACAGCAGGGTTTTTTTTTTAAAAAAAAAGCTTTTAAAAACCCTCCTCACACAGTGCCCAAAATAAATTGATATCCTATCTCGAGGACAATGGGCTAAGTGAAATATCTGAAATATTGTTAGGCAGACACATTGTTACAAGACCCTTTGTCCATATTTTACAATTAAATAAGACTAGTAATTTTTGCCAAATAAACAACAACAACAATCATCATCATCATCATCATCATCATCATCATCATCATTATTGGTTTCTAGACTGCCCTCTCCTGTGGTACAGGGCTCAGGGTGGAGTACAACAATAAAAGCAACATTCATATAATAAATTCATAGTTAAAAGCAATAAGAATGCAATACTTCTAATTAGATGCCACTGCCTCACGGGGGTGGGGGGAGGCAAGAGACAAGAGTGCCAGCCAGATGGAAACCGTCGATGTCCTCGACCATACGCCTGGAGGAACATCTCTGCATTACAGGCCCTGCGGAACGGCAAAATGCCACATGTTCTGATCTTCAAGATCGCATTTTACCTGGTTCTTGAATGACTGTGGTAAGGGAAGTACAGACAGAACTTGAAATATTTTGGGATCTGATATACTTCATACATTAAATAGAACTTGCAACATTTACCATTTGAGGGCCAGTTTGGTGTAGTGGCTAGGAGCGTGGACTCTAATCTGGAAGAACTGGGTTTGATTCCCCAGTCCTCCACATACAGCTGATGGTGTGACCCTGGGTCAGTTACAAGTTCTTTCCAAGCTGTTCTCAGAGAGCTCTCTCAGCACCACCTCCCTCACAGGGTGTCTGTTGTGGGGAGGGGAAGGGAAAGGAGATTGTAAGCCGCTCTGAGACTCCTTTGGGTAGTGAAGGATGGGGTATAAATCAGATCTCCTCCTCCTCCTCTCCTTCTCTTTCTCCTTCACTTTACCTTAAAAATTGAGGCAGGCCAACAAGAGCACCTTAAGGGCTCTGCTGTAAGGGAAAATGAAGAGTCTGTCAGCTGTGCTAGAGCATTAAAGGCAAATGCTTATTCTGTCCCTTTTAATTTGACAGATCAACCTGCTGTTTTTAATGTGACATTCCGCCGTGGTGAAGATTACCCGATTGATCTGTACTACTTGATGGACCTCTCGTACTCCATGGCAAACGACCTGGACAATGTAAAGAAGCTAGGAGGCGATCTGCTGAAGGCTCTCAACAAAATCACGAGACTTGCCCGGATAGGTGTGTGCAGGTCTGATTAATGAGGTGTAATTGCTTCCTGGTACTAAAGGAGCTGTGGTGGCTCAAGTGGTTAAGACGCTGAACTGCAGGCTGTGGAAGGTCAGTAGTTCAGCAGTTTGAGACCCGGGTGCCGCAAGACAGAGTGAGCTCCCATCTCTAGTTCCAGCTCCTGCCAACCTAGCAGTTTGAAAGCAAGAAATTGCAAGTAGATAAATAGGTACCCCTTCGGTGGGAAGGTAACAGCGTTCCGTGCGCCTTGGTTTTTAGTCATGCCAGCCACATGACCACGGAAACGTCTTCAGACAGCGCTGGCTCTTCGGCTTTGAAACGGAGATGAGCACCGCAACCCTAGAGTCGGATTTGACTGGCTTTCGAGCAAGGGAACCTTTACCTTTACTTTACTAAAGATCTAATCTCCAGATTCAAGACATTATTTTAATTCAGGGCTTTTCCACATTCTCATTTTCATTGTTTGTAGGTTCCTGTTTCTTTGGAGGTTTTTTCCTGTTCCACACATTTTGCTCCCTCTAGTGGTCGATTCGTTATTACAACAGGTCATGTCCAGAGCCAGTTTGGGGTAGTGGTTAAGTGCTCAGACCTAATCTGGGAGAACCGGGTTTGATTCCCCACTGCTCCACTCACAGCTGCTGGATGACCTTGGGCAAGCCATCGTTCTGTCACAGCTGTTACCTCAAGGACAGTTCTCTCAGAGCTCTCTCAGCCCTACCTACCTCACAGGGTGTCTGTTGTGAGGAGGGGAAGGGAAAGGAGTTTGTAAGCCGCTCTGAGACTCCGAGTGAAGGGCGGGGTATAAATCCAGTCTCTTCTTCTTCTTCTAGCTCAGTTTTTATGCCAGACATAAATTGGTGTAATATTGAATTGAACACTAGAGGGAGCCAAACACATTTGTCTTAAGAAAAAAAAACCAACGAAGAAACAGGAACTTACAAGTGAGGAAAATGAGAATGTGGAAAAGCCCTCATATTAGGAAAATTACAAAGGGGGAGTCTGTTTTTGTGTGCCAAATGTTTCAACAGTTACATTATTCGTCTTGTTGCATTGAAGGAACTCTCAGTCACGAGCCTTCTGCTGCCACTGCATAGCATGGGAATTGGGCTGCTTCTTACATGGAACAGTTTCGGTAGGCATACATAAAAACACCCATCTTATGACCATGACTACTGTAAAGTTTTAAGTGTATGCAGATATTATTTTACCCCCACACACATCACAGAATCATGCCATCATCATGAAAGTGCAATCTGGACCCAGCTTCCTATCGCTTATTTCCATGATATACATGAGATGCACCAAAACTATTTATGTGCTGGAGCCATTACAGTGTTTATCTGTCTAGCGTATTTCTGTGCCCCTTCTCCACAGAGTTCCAGGGAAGTGTGCATGATGTTCCTCACCCCCATTTTATCCTTGCAGCAAGTCTGCTCCATGCGTGGCTAATATGGTGGAATCAATTCCTCATGTCCTCCTGTTCTGCAGATTCTATCAGGAGGAACGAGACCATCGTATACTACCCCTTCTGTCTAGATTTAGCCCTTTGCAGTCTTATCTTGACTTTAGGCCAGAAGTCCTTCGTAAATTCCTCTTAGAAGACGTTCAGAGCTCAGTGACTTACGCTGTGGCCAAATTTTGTTGCTTAGCTATTAGGAGACGTAAACTTATTTTAGCTGAAAAAAATTGTATGATTCTCTTATTAACACTATCTTACATTACTAACTTTTTAAAATATATATATACTTTCTTTATTGAATTTTAAAGACATAACAAACACAGATAAACAAACAAACAAATACCCAACCAAAAATTACATTTTCAACATAATTGCAACAGTCAAACTTAACTTTAAAATATTTCTTCATATCTTATGTATTTTCCACTGTAACCCAACGCATATTTCTCATAATTTATCAATCTACTTTTTAACCCAAAATATAAAGGTTCTTAGACTTACATTCTAAAGTAATTACCTATCACCTTATCTTCTTTTATTTACATTACTAACTTTATTAACTCTCTCCTGTTAATGTTTTGATATTATTCCCATATTATTACTGTTTTAATCCCCTTTATATCAGAATTGTACTGTTTTACTGGCTCCTGCTGCAATTAATTAGATGGATTGATTGATTGCAACAAGTCTGTGAGGTAGGTGAGACCGAGAGAGAATAACTGGCCCAAGACCACCCTGTCAGCTTCCCAACAAAGTGGGAATTTGAACTTTGATGGGGTGAAACGCCCTCCATCCAAAGAATCCATTCCAGTAATTCAGCCGTTGAGTTACACTGTGTCCATGCCACAGGAGCCCCTCTGCAAATCTGTAGTTGGCAGAGAGGACAAGTGCTGAGAAGGATGTATTTATCTCCCAAGCACAGAGATCCCAAGCTCTTCGTTTTGCAAATGGTGGGCTGGAGGAATGACAAACAAAGGTTTTGCCATGTTGCACCTTGTTAGAATGTCACACCTCAAGGGACAGAGCCCTGGACCAGATAGTTTTCTCTTCCTCTTGAGGCAGGAAGATGTGAATAACCCCCAGGGGGTACAGAGGCCCAAGGGGAGATTATAAATTCCCAGGACATAGGAAAGAAGCTCTTTTCCATCTTGCTGTTCTCCTTGGATGAGCACTAGGGACTTCATCTTCCCATGTGGTAAGGGACAATGGGGAGAAATCCCAACTCTGAGAACTCACATCATGATGGACTTTTATCTGTTGCAACATCAAGAAATACTTAGTTGAGTATTGTTATTCCTTATTCCAATAGCCAAGTTACCTACCCTATAGTTACTGTTAATAAAGAGACCTTCAGCCAAACGGAACTGGGTGCTTGTTGTTCGCTCCACTAGACAAAACTCTAATGTTTTTAATTTTCTGTACTAGATCCAATCAAACTTTGAGTACTTCGTATCTGTATTTGTCAAGGGAGGGGAAGTACTAGCCAGACAAATGAATTGAGCAATAGGATTGGACTCAGGGCTGTAGAAAAAGCCCAGCAGGAACTTATTAGCATAATAGGCCACACCCAAGAGCAGACACCCATTAGCATATTGGGCCACACCCCTGACAGCACAGCTCATTAGCACATTAGGCCGCACCCCCATGTTACCAGAAGTGTGGTTATCCAGCCACACCCACCTTTTGCTTCTTATTCTGTTTACCTTGTTTGTTGTCAAAACCCAGGGCCTTTTTTTGGAGCAGGAACTCCTTTGCATGTTAGGCCACACACCCCTAATGTAGCCAATCCTAATGAGTTTCTGCTGTTGGGTGTGGCCTATTATGCTAATGAGTTCCTGCTGGGCGTGGCCAACTTGGGAGCCAGCCGGAACTCCGTTCCTGTGCGTTCCTGCCCAAAAATAGCCCTGGGATGGGTTTGTACTTTTGCAGGAAGGGGAAGCAAGTTATCACTTCCCTTTCAAAAAGCAGGCAGGCAGAGTACCCGTAGAAAGCATCTAGCTCTTTCTTGGATGGCATGGTTATCTTTTAAGCAAGGTTGGAACAGTGGGTGATCACCTTTCAGCTCCAGTTATCTATGACGCATACATTGCCAAGTTCAGAATTCCCAGCTTGATTTAGACACTCCATTCCCCTGTTCCCATATTTCAGTCAAATGTAGTTTAAAGCCCTTCTTTCTCTATGTGTTTAGTAGCATCATCCAGTCTCTGTCCGCAATTTTCAAATTGTTTCCTCCAGGGTTTGGTGCCTTTGTGGATAAGACCGTGTTGCCCTTTGTTAACACACATCCAGAGAAGCTGCAGAACCCTTGTCCGATCAAGGAGACCCGGTGTCAGCCGCCGTTTGCTTTCAGGCATGTGCTCAGCCTCACCAATAACGCCATGCGGTTTGAGCAGGAAGTAGGGACGCAGTACATTTCGGGAAATCTTGATGCACCGGAGGGGGGGCTGGACGCCATGATGCAAGCTGCCGTTTGTGGGGTAAGAACCGTAGCACCTAGAATACAGTAATGGGCCGAATGATAAAGTGTGGAGTGGGGGGGGGGAGAACCCGAATGCGGTGACACTGTGTTGTCCTCAAGAATGGCAGTCTCGCCAAACGGTCTTAATGAGCCTGCTAGTAATTAATGCTGTACAGGGGTTGGTCTCAGCCATAGGTATCTAAGTCAGCCGCCATGGGCCATGGGATGGGCTGGCCCCCGACTGCACACAGTGTTGTTGGGGCCCCCCCCATGGAGGGGGAAGAAGACTAAGAGCCAGTGGTCACAAAGCCTTCTGGCCAGTCCATTGGCTGCCTGCCCCCCCCAGGGCTCACACTCTGGCTGGCCACCATAACACAAAGCTTTCTATTGAGGACATTTTGGCTCACACTAATTGGTTTACATTGTTACTTTCTGGACCACAATTTGGAAGATACACAAACTGGTTCCTATTGAGGACATTTTGGCTCGCACTAATTGGTTACATCCAATGCTCCCTCTAAGCTGCGGAGTCTTGTAAGCAAACATTCTGCTTTGTGAGCGACTGGCATGAACGTTGTGAGCGAGCGATTTGGCTACTGCACCAACGAGTCTGCTCTGGAGCCGTCCTTCCTGAGCGGAGACAGAAATACGTGAGCCGGAGGGTAAAAAACTGTGAGCTGGCTCACACCGACTCAGCTTAGAGGGAACATTGGTTACATCATTACTTTCAGGACCACAATTTGGAAGATATACCAAAGTGAAACCATTTACCGCCTGTGCATATGTACTGGACAGTGAATTTAATCTTAAGAGGCCTCATAAACATTCCTTGCCTGTGTCTAATTTCGTTTTGGAATGTCCCTTTTTTTGGTCCAGTATTGACATAGTCTTTGCTGTTTCTTGGCTGCCACAACACACCTGCCTGACCATCTTGTGCAGGGCAAGGGCTGCTCCTGGCTTGAGCCTGGGGTGGCCCGGGTGGTGGTGAGGGACTCATAAGTCGTGGTGGTGGTCACAGTAGTGGTGGTATTGGCAGTGGCAGTGATTCTGGGGCTCCACCCTGGATTTTCCCCCAGGGCCGCAGAATCACAGAATCAGAATCAGACGTGGTTGTTGTTTGGTGTAGTTTGGTGTAGTTTGGTGTAGTGGTTAAGTGCGCGGACTCTAATCTGGGAGAACCGGGTTTGATTCCCCCACTCCTTCACATGCACCTGGCTGGATGACCTTGGGCAAGCCATAGTTCTGATAAGAGCTGTCCTTGAAAAAGAACGTTATAGCTGTACATTGCCTGATTCAAAGCCAGGACTGTGGACCTCCTTTTTCATCAGAGGCAGCGTTCAAATATTCTTTATTATTCCTTCCTTACATTTACGCCCTGGTTCCTGGCCAAAAAGAAATTACCAATGTGGCTTATGCAAGATAATATATAAAATAATAAAAACAAGAAAAAAATAAAATATCAGTTCAATACATTAAAAGCAGTACGTTAGCAAACAATTTGGAAAAGATTTCCTAAACAGGAAGGTCTTGACCGGCCTCCTGAATGGGGGCAGGTGTTCCCTTCAGAGCCTCTCTCCGCAAGAGAATGTGCCGCAATAGGAAACTTCCACTGGGCAATTTGCCACCTACATTGCCTCAGAAGTTGGGGGCACACATCACAGCCCCCTCCCCAGATCTTAAGGGGAGGAAGCCCTCCATCAGTGATCTACAGTGCAGATTATTTAGGGTTTAAACAAACCTGTAAATTGGGCCTGAAAATTCATGGCAGACAGGGTTGCGATGAAAGCACTGTTCTCTTGAGCTTCTGCCAGACAGCAGTTTAGTTACCACATTCTGTACCAGTTGTATTTTCTGGACATTTCACAGGTAGCTCCATTTGGGGTTCATTGCAGTTATATGGTCTAGAGCTTGCCCCCCAAAATTGAAATTATCATTGTGTGTGGAATAGCCAGGAGATCCCTGGGGAGATTGTTTGGCTGCCGAAGCTGTAGCTCTTTTTTGGCACCACTAGGTGGTGAGCTATGCTTATTTTTTAGGCTGAGAGTTCTGTGACTTGCCTGACGTCACCCAGCTAGTTTCAAGTGGGGAAGTGGGGAATCAAACCCGGTTCTCCAGATTAGAGTCTGCCGCTCTTACCCACTACACCAAATTGGCATGCCAGAGAATGCTGATACATTCAGGCCACCAGTGGGAAGAAGGCAGCTGGTATCTGATGCTGAGACCTAGGGCAACTGTGGCTTCTTTCACACAGAGGTTTTCCCACAATTTGAGTGTTGAACTACAAACTACAGTGGTGTTCTCCCACCCCCGAGTTTGCTCATGATGTTATTGTCTTCCCATGGTTCCTTCATTTTTCCTCTGTGCTTTCTCAAATTGGATCAAAAGTGGTTTGAGAAAGCATGGAGAACCAATGCCACAGGTCTTTCCCCAAAGCGCAGGAGAACCTCCGTATAAAAATACCCTATTAAAGCGCAGCTGATCTACCACCGCATTTCTTTATTGTATTATCTCTAGTCCTGCTATCCGATTAAGTAGGCTATGAGCCATGAAAGCTCACATTGAAATAAATGTTGCCTTTAAGGTGCCGGTGGACTTTTTTTGCTTTATTTTGCTACAACAGACATACGTGGTTGTTGTTTGGTGTAGTTTGGTGTAGTGGTTAAGTGCGCGGACTCTAATCTGGGAGAACCGGGTTTGATTCCCCATTCCGACTTGCACCTGGCTGGGTGACCTTGGGCAAGCCATAGTTCTGATAAGAGCTGTTCTTGAAAAAGAGCCGTTTCTGTCAAGAGCTCTCTCAGCCCCACCTACCTCACAGGGTGTCTGTTGTGGGGAGGGGAAGGGAAAGGAGTTTGTAAGCCGCTCTGAGACACCTTTGGGTAGTGAAGGGCAGGGTATAATTCCAATCTCTTCTTCTTGTTATTGTTTCTTTGCAGTCAATCTCAAACACTGTACAGTTTTGGTTGGAATGTCTCCTAAGGTGTCTTGAAGCTACCTTAGTCATGAAGACCCATAGTTGGGGAGTGAAGAAAGATACTGATGAGCTTCTGGGGATTTGCTGCCCCACAGTTGTTGTCGTCAGAGTTTCTCTGGCAGGGAAAGTTTTGTTTCAGATGAGATTGAGATCTCAGGGAACAGGAAGCGCATGGAATTCCAGCTGCTGCTGTTTCTTTGCTCTCATGTCTGCTATATCTGCAAGAAACTGAGTTTGTGCAGTAATGTGCTATTTTGTTGGTAGCATAATTAACTCCTTCACAATAGAAACTGCTTGGGAGCAATGCTCCCTCTAAGCTGTGGAGTCCTGTGAGCAAAAAGTCTACTTTGTGAGCTACCGGCGTTAAAGTTGTGAGCAGGTGATGTGGCTACTGCATAAATTGGTTTGCTCTGGAGCCATCCCTTCCTGAGCCAAGACAAAAAATGTGTGAGCCAGAGGCTAAAAAAATCTGTTGGCTAGCTCACACTAACTCAGCTTAGAGGGAACACTGCTTGGGAGCAGAACAAGCCAGCTAGAAATGTGGAGAATATCTTTTTATTTCGTGTATTTATCAACTGAAACATTTATTTCTGCCGTGCAGAATTCAAGGTGGCTTACTATGTAAATAAAACAGCCATTATAAAAAGTACATAAAAGATCACAGTTTAAAATCACAAGTGGGACTGTCAATTAAAAAAAAATGCTAATTTAGTCAAACTGTAGTTCTAAATAAAAACTGACTTCAGTTGCCTCCCAGAGATCAAAAATGAGAGAGTCAGGCACACCTTCCTAGGGAGGTCGTTCTATAACCATGGGGCTGCCACCAAAGAGGCCCTGTCTTCTCTACACACCAAACAAACATCTTTGGTCCATGGGACAGTCAGAGGATTTCCAAGGAAAGGCTGCTAAGGCTACTTCAGCACACAGATTGTCCTGTCTCATACAGGAATTGGGGTTTGTTATGTATGGGGTTATCTGGATTTTATGTAAAGCGTGAGTTTCAGTCACAAGCTCCATAGACCGTCAGCATTCTAAACAAAGCAACCAGATTGGTCACTGTTGCTAACAGACCAATCCGGATAGACTCTGACTTTCAGCGGGAACAATTCCCATTGGACCCAAGCACTTGTCTTTGATTGGTTGTTATTGTTCCAGGGGGTGTGATTTTCCTGGTTCAAACTGTATATAGTTGGGTCATTCTGTGCGTCGTTTGTCTGTGTTCTGAGCTAATAAAGAAATCACTTGTTTGAAACGCTGCCTCGATCTCAGTTCATAATAGGATTGGAAGGAGTTATCGGGTCCCTTCCTGCTCTGACTTCCCATAAACCTTTGTACTGTTTTAAAACCTCTTCTTCTTTTCTTTTCGTTTTTTTTTTTTAACCCAGGCTAAAATTGGCTGGAGTAATGCCACTCGCTTATTGGTGTATGCGACAGATGACGGTTTCCATTTTGCTGGGGATGGAAAGCTCGGAGCCATCTTAACGCCTTTCGATGGGAAATGCCACCTGGAGGAAAATATGTATAAAAAGAGCAACGAATATGTAAGTCCCCTGAGTTTAGCAGTACATCCCGTAAAGTATTTGCCAGTGAGCACTGCAGTGTGTGATCTGTAATTAGTTATTTCAGGCTACAGTGGGAACTGAAGGGCTCATAGATTTCCCTTGCTCGAAAGCCAGTTGAATCCGACTCTAGGGGTGCGGTGCTCATCTCTGTTTCCAAGCCGAAGAGCCAGCGCTGTGTGAAGACGTTTCCGTGGTCGTGTGGCTGGCATGACTAGACGCCGAGGCGCATGGATCGCTGTTACCTTCCCACCGAAGTGGTACCTATTTATCTACTTGCAGTTTCTTGCTTTCGAACTGCTAGGTTGGCAGGAGCTGGGGCCAGAGACGGGAGCTCACTCCGTCATGCGGCACTCGGATCTCGAACTGCCGAACTACCGACCTTCCGGTTTGCAGTTCAGCATCTTAACAACTTGAGCCACCGCATCCTCACAAAGGGCTCATACAGCTCCTGTAATTCTCAGAAAATATACTCACTGGCAGTATCAAAATGTGAAGAAATTATTATTTTCCTGGGGCTATTTCGGATGCACGATTTGGTGATAATTAATTATGGTTAAGATTTATAATCTGAACTAAAGGAATCCTCTAAAGTTTTTTTTAAAGGACCCAAAATCAAAATCCAGAATTATGGTACCACTTATTTCACACCTTCTTTAGAAGAAAGGAGGTGGACAGCTAATGGCTAAGACTGCATGATTTCCCCGGGCAAAAAGAGTGGGGTCCGTATTAAAAAATCCATCTCACTTAGAGACGGTGGTATACTGAATGCCCTTGGAAAACCAAGCTGATGACTTGAATGATGTGCCAACCAGTCTTGGGAAATCACGTGTGCCGAGTCGAAAAGAGAGCCTCCGAGAGCAGCTTCCACTGATGTTTCCTTTGTCAACAGGACTATCCATCCGTTGGCCAGCTGGTGCAAAAACTTGAAGAAAACAACATCCAGCCCATTTTTGCAGTTACCAGTAAAGTCGCCGATACATACCGAGTAAGCAAAATATCGAGAGGTATAGAAAGTTAGGAACAGAATGGCTACAGGGAAAAAGATGAAAGATCCACAGTGATGTCCTAAGCAGATTTATACCCTTCCAAGTCCAGTGGGCTTTGGTAGGTGTGACTCTGCTTAGAATTGCATTGTCAGGCATCTGTGGGTTTTTCACTGGAGCAAAACACACAGATATGGAATCGTATGGTATAGCCCAGGGGTGCCCAAACATGCTTAACGCAAGAGCCATATAGAATAAAAATGTCAGATGTCTGAGAGCCGCAAGACATGAACAAATATGTAAATTTGCTTTTTATTAACGTTAAATGAGACTGCCTAAAATAAAAACAAAAGGGGTAAAAACAGATTGATAATGATATTTATTTGTCCAGTGAGATTTATTTGTTTACTAATGATATCTATATGTCTAAGGGAGAGAGAAAGACAGAGGTGGAAAGAAAGAGGTTTTAAAAGCGCATAGGCCGTCCACCATAAAAGAAAGAAAGAATGAAAAAGAGAGAGAGAGAAAAAAAAAAAGACAGATTTGGGAGGGAGGGAGGGGAAGGAAGGAAGAGAGACAAAGAAAGGTAAAGAAAGAAGTGGAAAGAGAGCAAAAAGATGGGGAGAGGGGGGAAAGAAGGGGGAAAGAGAGAGAGAGGTGGAAAGAAAGCAAATAAATGGGGAGGGAGAGAGAGAGGGAGGGAGAGGTGGGAAGAAAACAACTTTAACTTTAAATGTGTTCTCCAACCCCCCACCTATGCCAGCCAGCTCGGTGAAGGGATTTAAAGAGACAAATGTTTTCTCCAAGCCAGCCAGCGGAGGAGGGAATTTTAGAACATATTTAAAGTTGCTTTCTTTCTCTGCTCCCCCTCACCTCAAGCCTACCCAGGGAGGGGAACACTAGCTGGGGAAGGGAAGACTGATCAGCTGCCCTGCCGGGAGCCGCACAATATGTGTGAAAGAGCCGCATGTGGCTCTCAAGCCACAGTTTGGCCACCCCTGAGCTATAGCCCCATGTTGTCAGATCTCAGAAGCTAAGCAGGGTTGATACTTGGATGGGTGACCACCAAGGAAGACAGTACAGGCAATGGCAAACCACCTCTGCTTCTCACTTGCCTTGAAAGCCCCTTGCTGGGATTGTCATAAGTCAGTTGAGACTTGACTGCACTTATGTAATAAAGAGCCAATTTGGTGTAGTGGTTAGGAGTGCAGACTCTGATCTGGGAGAACCAGGTTTGAATCTCCACTCCGCCATATGCAGCTGCTGGTGCAACCTTGGGTCAGTCACAAGTTCTCTCAGAGCTGTTCTCTCAAGAGCAGTCCTCGAAAGAGCTCTCTCAGCCCCCACCTACTTCACAGGGTGTCTGTTGTGGGGGGAGGAAGGCAAAGGAGATTGTAAGCCGCTCTGAGACTCCTTCAGGTGGTGAAAGGTGGGGTATAAATCCAATATCTTCTTCTTCTAATACGCATGGGGTATATTAGCAGAGCTGACACTGGTGGCATCCACCACTCTGGCTTAAGGAGACTTCATTCAACAAAAAGATACTCTTCAACTCCTATTCCTTCAGAGAAAAATTCCTTGGGCTGGAGGGAGATTTAAAACCGGGCAGAGCAGAGGGCTGGGATACAACCCATTTTGCTCTTACATTATAACCTGATAGCCATTATGGTTCTGTATCTAATGGAGCGAGGCAACACTTTTTCATACCTTTGTTCTCCGTTGGTAGAAACTCAGTGAGATGATCCCCAAGTCTGCCGTAGGAGAACTGCAGGAGGATTCCAATAATGTCATCCAACTTATCCAGGATGCTTACAATGTAAGTGTTACTACTCATACTGCTTTCCACCCTTTAGGAGGGTTATTTTATTGTAAACTCATGCTTGTTATCTTCGCAAGGATGTTTACGTGGCTTGCTCATCTGGAGAGTCAGGGAGTTGGTTCCAGCTCTGGGAGACATTTTTTACAGGGCGTGGCTCCACTTTTTCTTCTGCTTCCTTTTTTCTTCCCTGGAGGGCAGCCCTGGTGAAAGCAACCAGCATGCCCAGAACAAGGGGGAGGGGACTGTGGCTTAGTAAGAGGTGAGGGAGAGAAGTCAACCGCTGGCATGCTTCCCCCATTGCTTCTGTTAAGCTAGAAGCAGGAAGAAACTGATTGACTTCCAGTTCTTCTTTCCTGTCTTTCTCCCACCAAATGTATTTGTTGTGAGTTGGATGCCTGGGATGGCCAAGCCTTAAGAAGAGTGAAGCCGTACTTGACCTCTCTTGCCCCACGTTTACTTAGCACTGCCAGCTCCACCACCACCACCACTGGCAGGGAAGAGAGGGTAGAGTTGCCAGATCCAGCTTTGATTGTGAGTAAAGAAATCTTCTGAATGCATGTGGAGCTTAATAAAAAATGATTTAATTCTACTTTACTCTGGCCATCCGTTGAATCACGTCCAGAAGGCGCTGTTGAATCCTGACTTAGCGCCAGACAGAATAGTGGCTAAGTAACAGATGAGGGAGAAAGCCAACCGCTGGCATGCTTCCCCCTATTGCTTCTGTTAAACCAGAAGCAGGAAGAAACTGATTGATTTCAAGTTCTTCTTTCCTGTCTTTCTCCCACCAAATGTATTTGTTGTGAGTTGGATGCCTGGGATGGCCAAGCCTTAAGAAGAGTGAAGCCGTACTTGACCTCTCTTGCCCCACGTTTACTTAGCACTGCCAGCTCCACCACCACCACCACTGGCAGGGAAGAGAGGGTAGAGTTGCCAGATCCAGGTTGAGAAACTCTTGGAGATTTGAAGATGGAGCCTGGGGAGGACAGGGGCAGGCATCCATTTTCTCCAGGGGAACTGATCTCTGTAGTCTGGAGATGAGCTGCAATTCCAGATTTCCCACAGATCCCCGAGTCCCACCTGGAGGCTGGCATCCCTCCGTTTACTATTTCCATATTCATCTGCTTCCTTAGAGGGAAATGAAATATGACTACGCTTTTCTTTTGTTCACCAAACCCGCAGTTTGCTCTTCATGATACTAGTTCAGTTCAGTTTATTGTAAATAGCCGTTGGCCATTATAAGTTTACAAAAACCTCAGCAGAGAGGGATACAGATTGTATACAAACGATAAATCAGCAAATAAACAAAAATATCATGTAGAACCAGAAGTCAGTTAAGAACATACTACACATATAGTGCAATAATAATCCGGCCTGCGAGCTGGCCAAAGTCGTCTTGTTCTGGATAGAATAAAGTATGCTTTGCTGAAATCACTCTCTCTTTCAACTACGCTTTTCTTCTGTTCACCAAACCCGCAGTTTGCTCTTCATTATACTAGTTCAGTTCAGTTTATTGTAAATAGCCGTTGGCCATTATAAGTTTACAAAAACCTCAGCAGAGAGGGATACAGATTGTATACAAACGATAAATCAGCAAATAAACAAAAATATCATGTAGAACCAGAAGTCAGTTAAGAACATACTACACATATAGTGCAATAATAATAGTAGTAAGAACAAGTATCTAAGTTATAAAGCCCCTTGCTGGGATTGTCATAAGTCGAGACTCGACTGCACCGACTTATGTAATAGAGAGTCAGTTTGGTGTAGTGGTTAGGGGTGCAGACTCTGATCTGGGAGAACCAGGTCTGAATCTTCACTCCTCCACATGCAGCTGCTGGTGCGACCTTGGGTCAGTCACAAGTTCTCTCAGAGCTGTTCTCTCAAGAGCAGTCCTCAAAGGAGCTCTCCCAGGCCCACCTACCTCAGAGGGTGTCTTCCACACTCCTCCACGTGCAGCTGCTGGGTGACCTTGGGTCAGTCACGAGTTCTTGCCGAGCTGTTCTCTCAAGGGCAGTTCTCGAAGGAACTCTCTCAGCCCCACCTGCCTCACAGGGTGTCTGCTGTGGGGAGGGGGAGGGAAAGGAGATTGTCAGCCGCTCTGAGACTCCTTCGGGTAGTGAAGGTCGGGGAATAAATCCAACCTCTTCTTCTTCAGTCACGGTTCTCTCAGAGCTGTTCTCTCCAGGGCAGTCCTCGAAGGAGCTCTCCCAGGCCCACCTACCTCACAGGGTGTCTGTTGTAGGGAGGGTGAGAGAAAGGAGATCGTAAGCCGCTCTGAGACTCCTTCAGGTAGTGAAGGGCGGGGTATAAATCCAATCTCTTCTTCTTCTTTATTTATTTGTTAAATTTGTATCCCGCCCTCCCCACCGTGGCAGGCTCAGGGCGGCATGGGGTATATTAGCGGAGCTGACATTGGTGGCATCCACCACTCTGGCCAAAGACTTCTGCACTGTCATTTTTGTCACTTGTGCTGCCCCCAGTCAGCATTTAACTGTAGCTAAGTAGAACTGCCATATCTCTTTAAGAGCAGTTTGCCCCTGGGAACTGAAGTCTTTCGTTAGGCATCCCAGAGCATCCCTGTGACTGGCTGATTAGCAGTCATTTCCTGCACACAGAGGCGCGAGGGTTTGAGTTTACAGCTCTCTTCCCGTCTCTTTGTTCTCTTTAAACGTCAAGGAGGTCGGAGCACGCAATCTTTTTCACCATGAGCCAGTTAACTGAATTAGACTACAAAGATGTGAATTTCACCAGTTATTCAGCTTTGATTGTGAGTGGTGCAACCTTGGGTCAGTCACAAGTTCTCTCAGAGCTGTTCTCTCAAGAGCAGTCCTCGAAAGAGCTCTCTCAGCCCCCACCTACTTCACAGGGTGTCTGTTGTGGGGGGAGGAAGGCAAAGGAGATTGTAAGCCGCTCCGAGACTCCTTCAGGTGGTGAAAGGTGGGGTATAAATCCAATATCTTCTTCTTCTAATACGCATGGGGTATATTAGCAGAGCTGACACTGGTGGCATCCACCACTCTGGCTTAAGGAGACTTCATTCAACAAAAAGATACTCTTCAACTCCTATTCCTTCAGAGAAAAATTCCTTGGGCTGGAGGGAAACTTAAAACTGGGCAGAGCAGAGGGCTGGGATACAACCCATTTTGCTCTTACATTACAACCCGATATCCATTTTCGTACCTCTGCTCTTCGTTGGCAGAAACTCAGTGAGATGATCCCCAAGTCTGCCGTAGGAGAGCTGCAGGAGGATTCCAGTAATGTCATCCAACTTATCCAGGATGCTTACAATGTAAGTGTTACTACTCATACTGCTCTCCACCCTTTAGGAGGGTTGTTTTATTGTAAACTTGTGCTCGTCGTCTTTGCAAGGATGTTTAAGTGGCTTGCTCATTTGGAGAGTCAGGGAGAGTCGGCTCCCGCTCTGGGAGACATTTTTTTTCCAGGGCGTGGCTCCACAGCCGCCTTCTCCACTTTTTCTCCTGCTTCCTTTTTTCTTCCCTGGAGGGCAGCCCTAGTGAAAGCAACCAGCATGCCCAGAACAAGGGGGAGGGGACTGTGGCTTAGTAAGAGGTGAGGGAGAGAAGTCAACCGCTGGCATGCTTCCCCCATTGCTTCTGTTAAGCTAGAAGCAGGAAGAAACTGATTGACTTCCAGTTCTTCTTTCCTGTCTTTCTCCCACCAAATGTATTTGTTGTGAGTTGGATGCCTGGGATGGCCAAGCCTTAAGAAGAGTGAAGCCGTACTTGACCTCTCTTGCCCCACGTTTACTTAGCACTGCCAGCTCCACCACCACCACCACTGGCAGGGAAGAGAGGGTAGAGTTGCCAGATCCAGGTTGAGAAACTCTTGGAGATTTGAAGATGGAGCCTGGGGAGGACAGGGGCAGGCATCCATTTTCTCCAGGGGAACTGATCTCTGTAGTCTGTAGTCTGGAGATGAGCTGCAATTCCAGATTTCCCACAGATCCCCGAGTCCCACCTGGAGGCTGGCATCCCTCCGTTTACTATTTCCATATTCATCTGCTTCCTTAGAGGGAAATGAAATATGACTACGCTTTTCTTTTGTTCACCAAACCCGCAGTTTGCTCTTCATGATACTAGTTCAGTTCAGTTTATTGTAAATAGCCGTTGGCCATTATAAGTTTACAAAAACCTCAGCGGAGAGGGATACAGATTGTATACAAATGATAAATCAGCAAATAAACAAAAATACCATGTAGAACCAGAAGTCAGTTAAGAAGATACTACACATATAGTGCAATAGCAATAGTAGTAAGAACAAGTATCTAAGTTATATCCCCTCTCATTGCCACTTTAGACCTTATTTTCTAATGTGGTGCTTAATCTTTAGGATGCTTGGATGTTTTAAAAGTGGAGTACTATATTTTCCAGCGGATGTGGAGTGGTTTTAACCTTTAAAGCCCTATATGGTCAGGGTCCGGCATACCTGAGGGACCGCCTATCCCCACACGTTCCCCAGAGAGCACCGTGTTCGGGGCACAAATTCAGCTAGCCCTCCCAGGCCCCAGGGACGTCAGACTGGCGGCAACCAGGACCAGGGCCTTCTTGGTGGCTCCATCCCGGTGGAATGAGCTCCTGGAAGAGATCAGGGCCCCGCGGGACCTTCTACAGATCTCCAGGACCTGCAAGACGGAGCTCTTCCACCAGGCATTCGACTAAGGTGCCGCACTACACACTGGGGGAGTATCCCTGTGCCCTGGCTTTCCAACCTGTAACCTGGGTCCTATCATCATGGTTCCTAGCCTGTGCTCGCCGCATAATAAATGAGAACAGCACTGGTGTGAAAGTATTGACATCCAACAGTCACCTAAACTATGTTATAAAACTGTTGTGCCTGTTGCTTGAGTCTGTTCCAGCGTTTTATGTGTTTATGTTTTAAATGACTATTATTTTAAGTAATTTATATGCCTATGATAGGTTTTTTATTGTATTTAATTGTATTTTATGAACTGTTGTAAGCCGCTCTGAGCCTGCCTCGACGGGGAGGGCGGGGTATAAATTAAACAATAAATAAATAAATAAATATCTAATCCAACTCCCTCCACAATGCAGGAAATTCACAAATACCTCCCCCTCCACACACCCATGCCCAGAAGATGACAAAAAACCTCCAGGATCGTCAGCCAAACTGACCTGGCAAAAAATTGCTTCCTGACCCCAAAGTGGCGATCAGTATTTTCCTGGGTGTGTAAGAAAGGGCCACAAGAACTAAGCACTTATGCAACCTGTCCTCCCTCTCATGATCTGCCTAACTTCACAGAATCAGCATTGTTGTCAGGGTCCGCTCTAACTGTCAGGAAGTTCTTCTGAATGTTTAGCTAAAAACTCTTGTGATTTAATTTCAACCCGTAGGTTCTGGTCCGACCTTCTGGGGCAACAGAGAACAACTCTGCGCCGTCTTCTATATGACAGCCCTTCCAGTGCTTGAAGATGGTGATCATATTACCTCTCAGTTGTCTCCTCTTCAGGCTAAACCTAACCAGCTCCTTCAACCTTTCCTCATAGGACTTGGTCTCCAGACCCCTCACCATCTTCATTGCCCTCCTCTGGACATGTTCCAGCTTGTCTATATCCTTCTTAAATTGTCATGCCCAAAACTGAACACAATACTCTGTGAGGTCTAACCAGAGCAAAGTAAAGCAATACCATCACTTTGTGCGATCTGGACACTATACTTCTGTTGATACAGCCCAAAATCATATGTGCCTTTTTAGCAACCATATCACACTGCTGACTCATGTTCAGTGTATGGTCTACTAAGACCCCTAGATCCTTTTCGCACATATTACTGCCAAGACAAGTCTTCCCCATCCTATAATGATGCATTTGATTTTTCCTACCTAAATGCAGAATGTTACATTTATACCCATTGAAATTCATTTTATTTATTTTAGCCCAGTTTTCCAGCCTGTCAAGATCATCCTGTATCCTGACTCTGTCTTCTACCATATTTGCTACCCCTCCCAATTTAGTATCATCTGCAAATTTAATAAGCATTCTCTCTATTCCGTCATCAAAATTATTTATAAATACATTGAACAAAAGAGGTCCCAGGACAGATCCTTGAGGCACTCCACTTGTCACTCCTCTCCAAGAGGATGAAGAACCATTAACAAGCACTCTTTGGGAGCGATCTGTCAATCAGTTACAGATCCACCAAACAGTAATAGGATCCAAACTACATTTTACCAATTTGCCAACAAGAATATTATGTGGAACCTTATCAAAAGCCTTACTGAAAACAAGATAAACCATGTCTACAGCATTCCCTTGATCCAGCAAGGTAGTAACTTTCTTTAAAAAAAAAAAAAGGAGATAAGGGT